GGCAAGTACCCAGCGCTTCCTAGGCACCTGAGAGGGTTCCCTAACCCAGACAGATTGGGGAGTGGTCAGGGATGGCTTGGCGGAACAGTGCTGATATTGGTGATCAAAGATCAATCATAGTTATCTTTCTCGGAATGAACAAATGGGGAACTCTGCGTGTCCTTCCAGGAGAAGTTTTGGCTGCAGCCTGAGATTAGCTGAAGGCCATTCATTCACCTTGCAGTTCTGAACAGGCCACTGGGAGGCTCCGATATGAAATTCCTTCTGGGTCTCTTGGCCTGAGATTCTAGGGTATTTCATTCCCGTTAGGACAAAGGAAATCAGCTTTTAGAAAGAGATCAGCAGTCCAGGAGACTCATGTGTCCACTGGAGAGTTCTCAGTTCTAATGTCCACGAGCCAATAAACCCGTGTGCATTGAGGAAAGCTCTTTAACCACAGGCAACTGCCTCAACGTCCTGTATGGGAAAGAAGCGAAAAGCAGTGAGACTTCCTCTCCAGTGGCCAAAAGACTTGGGAATTGGGCTGCTGTGCTGGGCCTCTGCTTGGTGTGAGGGGAACTGTAGTGCATTGTCGTGCGTGCCTGAAATGCCCACGTGAAGAACAACTGGAATGATTGAGAGTTATGGAGCTGCAAATTACAGAATGTCCTAGCATAATCTACATTGAGAGGAAAAGCAAAAAGATACCCAGAAGACAATACATTTTAAAGATGAAAATTAAGCCATATATTCAAAAGAAAACATCAAACATGTAGACACAGGTTAATATAGTAGAAGTTAACTATTTCCATAAAGAGAACTTCTTTCAAAATCGTACCAAGCTATTGGACACCCAACAATAACTGAAATCTGCATCAATCTTAGAAGTGATCAAGATTTCTTTGTAATCATAGCTAAAACCCATTTCAGGTGGATGGGGATCCGATAAGTGTCTTTTTATTATTATTATTATTATTATTAATTATATTATTTTATTATTACTGTGACATTGGTTAACGAAATCCAGTATGTTTCAGGTGTACAGTTGCATATATATATATTGCATTGTGTATTCACCGCCCATAGTTAGATTTCTTCGTCACCACATTATTTGACCCCTTTTACTCCATCTATCTCCCCTTCTCCCCCACTGTCCTCTGGTAACCACTAGTCTACTGTCCATGTCCACGAGTCTCTGTTTGTCTGTTCATAGTTTTAAAAGAGAAAAAAGTAAGGCAGTGTCTCCCTACTCACAGCTAGATGCTATGATTGACTATTCTCATTTTACTGGATGTGGAAACTGAGGTATAAGAGTTAAGTAACTGCTCCAGATGCAAGGGATTTGTGATGCCTATGACACTCTACCCTCCAAGACCATAAGTGACAGACCAGAAACTTGGTCCCATGTCCTGGTGGCTCCAGAGCCAATGCCATTAACCATTAAAACAATGATTTTTCAACCAGGAGTGATTTTGTCCACCAGGGGACACTTAGCAATGTCTGGAGACATTTTGGTTGTCACATCTAAGTGGGTGTCTTCCTCTCACAAGCCCACCAAGACAGGAACAAACAGAATCCAAAAAAAAAAAGTAGAGTAGGCAACACCTGGCAAGTCCCCAAGATGGTGAACATCAACTTCAGGGGCAGAACCCACTAGAAATGCTCAAAGGAGCAGAGGGTATGAATGCACCAAAAGAGAGCATCCCCATCAGGCCTGGGAGCAGACACTTCAGCGAAGGATAGATGGCCAGTACTCCCCCATGCACTGACCTGGACCACCTTTTTAGCAGCACCTCCTCTTAAGTCCCATCGAGCACCTTATGCTTCAACAAATACCACAAGGGGTGAGACACTGTTGTGTCAAGAATGGAGACTCTGCAGTCAACGTCTGAGTTTTAAATCTTGGCTCCTTCCCTTTCTAATTGTGAGAGTTTGGGCCAATTACTAAAACTTACTAAACCTCAGTCTCTCCACATATGAAATGGGAATGATAAATTAAAAATAGTTCCTGTCTCACAGGGTTGTATAAAGATCAGATAGATACTGCATTCAGCCTAGAGCTTGGCTCCATAATAAGTTCTCAATAAATGTTGGTTGTCAATGATAACAAACCAATGGGACAAATGTCACCTATTATTTCTATTGCCGTCTTCCTCTTCAGCTTCCCCTATTCCTCCCTCAAGAATTCAAGCCATCAAAAAGAAATAAATGAATAACAAATAAATAAAAATTAAAAAAAATAATTCAAGCCATCTATCCTGATAGCACTTTATGACACTGTTCTTGGTCTTTCTCTAAATTCTCACAGCACTTAAACTGGACTTCTCTTTTATTTGAAATAACAAATACTTATAGTACTTACTATGTGCCTACAGACTGTGCCAAGTGCTTTTAAAATATTAACTTGCTTATTCCTCACAACAACCCCTGGGGGAGGCATTAATATCATTGCCATTTTACAGATGGAAAAACAGGCAAAGAGTCAAGTAACTCACCCAGGAGAGTTAAGTACTAAGTGGTAGAGCTGGTGTTTGAACCCAGGCTGTCCACATTGAACCATTAAGCCTCTTTCATGTCCCTTAGAGTGATGGATCTTGGATTTTTAAAAAAATAATCTTTACTCATTTTTTCCTGGCTACACATGGAGTTCCTTGGGAGCAGGGCCTTTGTGATCCATTCAATATATGCTTATTAACTGATTAAAATCACATTGTTAATTAATGTGAATTCCTTCAACACCAGAAGGCTCTACCTGGGACCTAAATAGGAAAGAAGATGGATTACTCCAGAGGCTAAGTGGGCTGGGGTGGGAGGGATGCAGGAACTGCACTCTAACCGGAAAGGCAATGGTAGAAGGGTGGGCTAAGTGGAAGGCAGAACATAATGCTACCTTTAAGCTAATAAGATAGGACTAATGAAAGCATCTCAACTTTAAAACTGAAAGGAATCTTTTATTCCTTTTTATGGTTGAATAATATTCCATTATGAACTACAGGATGAGTAAGGTTAATGACAAGGGAACTCCACACTGTTCTGTTGCTTTGTTTTACACTGTGCCTTACATTATAGTGAAGTTTAGTTACAAACCAAACTGCCTACATGTGGAGACTAACCTACATGTGTATAAAACAGGAGAGAAGAACCCTTCAAAATGCTAGAAGAAAATGAGAGGTGGCCAGCAAGGACTAGGGGCCAAAGGAACATGAAAAGAGAAAGCTACCCTCGGTTTTTCTCGGCTCAAGCTATGGCAGCTCAGTATTTGAAAACCACAGTGTGAGAGAAAAGATGAGAAGACGAGAGTGTAGATAATGTCAGCTCACAAAACGGCTGGTGAAATGGTGCTGAGGCTGAACTCCAAGCCAGACACAAGAACTGGCTGGGCAGGTGTGAGGGAGTCCTAGGTTCTAGTCCTGCCTCTGCTCCCAGCTATCTCTGTGACTTTGGAAGGCCTTTCCATCTCTAGAAGTCTGTTTTCTTCTCTACAAAATCAATGGGCTAGGATACAGCAGGGGTTTTTGTTGTTGTTGGTCCCTATTTCTTTTTTAAAATTGAGGTAATAGTCACATAACAAGATTAACCATTTTAAAGTGTACAATCCAACGGATTTACATTCACAATGTTGTACCACCACTATTTCTACCTAGTTCCAAGACATTTTCATCACCCCAAAAGAAAACCCTGTACCCATAAAGCAGTCGGTCCCCCTGTCCCTCTCTCCCTAGCACGTGGCAACTGTCAATTTGCTGTTTCTATGGATTTACCTATTCTATGTATTTCATATAAAAGGAATCATATGACATGTAGCCTTTTAGGTCTGGTTTCTTTCACTTAGCATAATTTTTTTTTCCAGGTTCATCTTAGAGCATGTATCAATCTTTTATTCCTTTTTATGGTTGAATAATATTCCATTATGAACTACAGTATGATTCTGAGGTCCAACATTACGATCCCCTTTCCTTTTCAAACGTCTGTTCAATAAATACACAATAAGCACCAATTAAACACAAAGCAGATGCTGAGGGGAAATGGTCAAGAAACACTGTGACCCCAGCTTTTTTTTAAACACATTTTTTTAATTGAAGTATATAACAAATGTTCACAAAGTAAAAGAAAAGTTTCACGTGATACTGAATGTTGCTAACCACCTCTCATTCTCCCTCCCTCCCCCTTCCCTACCAATACCCCCCATTCTCCCTTTTTAACAGTCTCAGACTTTCAGCAAGCAACTGTATCTAGTTGATACTTAATAACATCTTATTTTAATGTATTTATTTTAATGACTTTCTATTTACAGCAAGCTATAAGGTTTTTACATTTACATTATTTAACATTTTCTTTCAAATAAATTCATTTAAGTTCCTAAAACGTTAGTTAACTTAAAGAAAATAATAAATAACACGCAGGTGATATGCAGACTCAACAAACTAAGTTGCAAATGGAATGACTGTTGTTTGGAAAATACCCACGTAGAGTCTGCAATTGCCACATTTACTGTGTGACTTTTATCCGTTCAGTGAGCTTGCTCCAAGGCACCACGCTCACCAGTGAACACTTGGTTTCACTGATTGACAGAAAACACATTTTAAATTTGTCTCAGTTCTTCTACTTTTGGAAAAAGACGCCAAAATGGAATCCCAAAGGTTTTCAGGACACCAAAGCCTTGATGTGTCTGACCCACTTAGCTTATTAACAGACTAAAATTGCATTGCAGTTAATTCTATTTCATGTAGAAGTCAGAAGGCTCTACCTGAGGCCGAAATAGTTGAGATCTTATTCAAGAACCGGTCAAAACAGTAATCCACACAGGTTAACAACAACAACAAAATCAGTAGCAAATATGGAAATATTTTGCTCCCCATCTGGATTAGTCCTTTTTAGGTTGGGGGCGACAATTAGAGACAAAATGTTGCTTTCCCAGGTACTCAGCTACTCAGAAGCCACAATGGAAGCTACCCCCTTACAACAGGGGCGGAGGGACGCGACAGGGACGTCGGAGGGTCCCTAAAAGGAGGAGCTGCTGTGGCTCGGCCCGCCCCGCCCGGCGAGGCCACGCCTTTCCGGCCCCGCCCCCAGCACGCCCCGCCCCGCAGCCTCCAGTCCTCTCCGCGGTTCCCGCGTGTGCTGAAGATGGCGGCAGCGGTGGCAAGGTTTCTCCGGGCTTCGGTGAGTGGCTGCCGGTTGGGAACAGGCGCGGAGACACTATGGTGGCTCCAAGAAGTGCTTCCCAGACAGGATCCCACTCCCTAACGGTCTGGGGGACTTTCGCCCTCCCTGGAGGATGTCAGCTAGTTACGGACCCAGAGGCCTCCGCTAGAGAAGGCTCCCTGCGCCTGCTCAGAAGTGCCCTTCCCATACCCCTTCCTCGCAGTCCCCTCCCTTTATTTCTCATCGATCAGATTCGCAGGTCCCCAGTCCTCTTTCCATCTGAGCACCTGGTCCTGCCCCTGGAGACGGGCGATCTGCCCCCCTGTCCCAGACTCTATGACCTTGGAAAGTGCCTTTGCCTTTCCGAATCTCAGTTCGCTTTGCTCGTCTCAAGGTAGAGTGATGCCTACATCAAGGCGTGGCCGTGAGCATCCACGAAATGCTGGATGGAAACCAAAGTGCTAAAAGTGCCCAAAGTGTCAAAATGCAAAAGGCACTTTTCTCCTCCCACCACCTGCAGGTCTCTCCCTGCGCTTTTCTCTTGGCAAAGCCTAGTGCTTCCTCGCTACCCACCCTCCCCCTTTCTCGTGGCGGGTTCCAACGCAGGCTCTTCTTCCTGAGTCATGCAAGACACTGAAGTTGAGCAAACATTTGCCTTGAGCCCTTTTCAGAACTTTACTACAGGATGAACTTTGCTCTACTTGTTTGCTTGTCTGTGGGGCTGGAAGGGCCTTGTCTTTTCTAAGGAAAAACCTTGACACGATATATCGCTCAGCAGAATGTCCTGACAAAAGGCTTAAAATATTCGGGGCCTGGCCAAGTCCCCTTGGTTTTTGAACCCTCTGTGTTGCTCTTAAGAGTAGGGAGCCCTTCTGGTCTTATAATTCCCCTCCTCCTTGCAGTCTTTTTAAAAAAATAAGTTCTTAAATAAAAATTTTATGTGTAAGATGCACAACATAATGATTTGTTATACATACATTTAATTAAATGATTACTAGAGTCAAACTAATATCTCTTCACATGGTTAACCTTTTTGTGTGTGATGAATGTACCTGCAATCTACTCTCTTTAGCATATTCCCAGTGTTCAGTGCAGTATTATTATTCAGTGCAGTCATCATGCTGTACTTTAGATCTCTAGACTTATTCATCCTACATAACCGCAACTCTGTATCTTTTGACCAACTTCTCTCCATCCCCACCTTGCAGTCTTGAAAGAGAGGGAAGCAAAAGAGAATATTAAGAACATGGAGACCCGATCCGTACTCTTAAGAGTTTTGGGTTTGCTATTTGGTTCATGGGAACAGAGAGAGCCAAGGCCACCACTGGCTTATGCCCTTTCAGCAGGGCTAGCCTTTACCCACCGTTCTGGACTACTTCCTAATGTAAAGTCTTTCTCTTACCAGGTTGCCCGACATGTGAGTGGTATTCCTTGGGGCATCTCTGCCTCTGCAGCCCTTAGGCCTGCTGCTTCTGGAAGGATGTGCCTGACAAATGTCTTGTGGTCTGGTTCCAGTCAAGCAAAATTTGCCTTTAGCACAAGTAAGTGTTATGCCTTGTTTTGACCCAGGTACTGGAAACATGAATCATCATCTCTGAAGAGGGGCCCTGAACTCTGGCTGTACATTAGACTCCCCTGGGGATCTTTTAAAAGCGTACCACTGCCCCAGTCCCACCCCAGACAAATTATGTCAATCTCAGGGGGTGAGACCAGGACCAAGACATCAGTGTTTTTTTTTATAGCCCACCAGGAGATTTTAATGTGTGGCCACGGTCAAGATTCACTGAAGTAAACTGCCCTTGTGTCACATTTTCTAGTTGGTTACCAGAGATTTTAATCCTGTGTTGAGAAATATGGGTGGGGGATTCGACTCAGATGCCTTCCATGTGAGGTCAGTGGGAGTGCAGCAGCCTGTCGGGGCTGAGGCTTTTGGATTCAAACCTGTGTGCTGGCTCCAGTTGGCCATGTTAGACCATGGACTCCTCCATGATCTGAATGAAGCGTAGCTCTTTCTTGAGATTTGCCCTCCATTTTCTAGAATGTGGGCTTTGCTGAGATCAGCCTCACATAACGATTGGTACTTGAAAATACCTCCTTTAGATTTGTCTCACCTTTTATAAAGCGTATTTTTAGCATGTAATGGTTTGGGTGATATACTTTAGCAAAGCCTTTGTTTATTGGTAAAATGCTCTAAAATGTTTCCCAGTTTTACCACCCTGGACCTTTAAAAAATTTCTAGTAGTGATTTGATGCCACAGATTGAAAACTTTGCTTGTCACCTGTTTCAAACTCCCATTCCGAACAGCTCCATTGTTTCGGAGGCCCAGGCATTCTGACACCAGATCGCCTTTGTCCCTCGGACCCAAGTAGAAGCAAGTCCTTCTCCAGTTCTGACACATCTCTTGCATTTTTGCCTTTCTTGTGTTTTCTCTGCCACATACCTCTCACTTAGATAACTGATATCACCCCATAACTTCAGTGTCTCCTCCTCCTGCTCCCCAACCCTCCCCTGCCAGACTAATCTTCCAAAGAACAGCCGACTCATCTTCCATCTCCTACACGAAAACCCCCAGTGACTCCTCTATCTCTCTTTTTAAGAACAGACTCATCAGCCCGATATTTAAGGGCCCTCACAGCATGGCCTTCAACCGTTCCTGCTTCGTCTACTACTGTTCTTTCCACATGTTCCTGCTCTGTCTGTTCTGACCAAACTGCGCCACGGGCTGTTCCCCACACTTGTCCTCTTCCTTCCTCCATGCCATTGCCCTGTCCCATCTGGACTTGGTGAAATCTGCACCATGTCTGGAAGCCATATCCAGTCTGTCTTGCTTAATTCCATCTCTACCATATTCTGTCATCTTTTTAGTTTCCATAGCACTTTCAATTGAATTTGTGTACAATCTAGAACTATGGAAGGAAAATAAATTTACCTAAGATGTACAGTTTACTGAACCTTTTAATTTATACTGCTCATTAAATAAAGGTTTAAATAAAATCAAATAGGTGCTTTAGTATCATTTGATGAACTTTATATGCACGTGGGGTTTTTTTTTTCAGGTTCCTCATACCATTCTCCTGCCGTCACCCAGCATGCACCCTATTTTAAGGGTACAGCCGTTGTCAATGGAGAGTTCAAAGAACTAAGCCTTGATGACTTTAAGGGGAAATATTTGGTGCTCTTCTTCTATCCTTTGGATTTGTAAGTGTAATTTCTGTAATTTCTGCTTTAATGTCATTCCGAAAGCAAGCAAAGATTCCTTCTTCCACACTGACATCGCCTGTCTCTAGTTAGGGTTCTTGTCAAAGGAAGGGTTCTTTCTGAGCCTTTATCACTGATGGCCTTGTTGGCACGGCTTGCATCTGTAGCTAATTTACAAGTAATGGATTGAGAGGATGGAGTGACATTTTTCACTGGTCTGGAAGAAAATGAGAAAAGTAAAGATAGTAAAATGGATTTTCGCATAGAGCTACTTTATTTACAAAATGGTGCTCACCTCCACCATTTTGGGATATGATTCTTAAATAGAAAGGTGAGGATGGTTAGCTATTTTGCCTTTTTTACCCTTAAGAAAACTGAACTCATTTTTAGGCTACCTGTTGTTCCAATTTTGAATCCTTTTTTTTTTTCAATTCTCTGATGAGAATTTCTGCCCTTTTTTTCTAGCACCTTTGTGTGTCCTACAGAAATTATTGCTTTTAGTGACAAAGCCAATGAATTTCATGATGTGAACTGTGAAGTTGTTGCAGTTTCAGTGGATTCCCACTTTAGCCATCTTGCCTGGATAAACACACCGAGGAAGGTATAAACATTATTTGCCCTGTCTTGGCACTTGTGACCTTAAAAAGTGAAAAGATCCCATCAAGACTAACCCTAGAAGTTGTTAAAACATGACTAATCTGATATGGGCTATTTGTAGGTCCTGACCTACTGGCAAATTCTGCTGAACTGTGTCCATATCTCCCTCGGCAATGCATGCATATTTATTCCCCACTACATTTGTATTTTCCACGATGCAAACAGTAAGGGAGAGCAGGCTAGCAGGGCGGGGGAGCAGCTGGGGCCTGTTGCCTCCCCTCTACCAGTACCCTGTAGGTATCGTGAACCCTCCTGCGTGTCTCGTGGGAAGGTGGTTAGGTTCTCCGATGTCTGTTCTGCATGATAAGTATTCTTGCCTAAAGATTTGCTTGAGAGAATCAAAATTTCTAGCTATGCTGCTGTACTGTCAACATCAAATTATTCAGAGTATTTTTTTAATACTTTTCCATTTTTATGCTTCAGAAATTAATCTTCAA